GTGTGTGTGTGTGTGTGTGTGTGTGTGTGTGTGTGTGTGTGTGTGTGTGTGTGTGTGTGTGTGTGTGTGTGTGTGTGTGTGTGTGTGTGTGTGTGTGTGTGTGTGTGTGTGTGTGTGTGTGTGTGTGTGTGTGTGTGTGTGTGTGTGTGTGTGTGTGTGTGTGTGTGTGTGTGTGTGTGTGTGTGTGTGTGTGTGTGTGTGTGTGTGTGTGTGTGTGTGTGTGTGTGTGTGTGTGTGTGTGTGTGTGTGTGTGTGTGTGTGTGTGTGTGTGTGTGTGTGTGTGTGTGTGTGTGTGTGTGTGTGTGTGTGTGTGTGTGTGTGTGTGTGTGTGTGTGTGTGTGTGTGTGTGTGTGTGTGTGTGTGTGTGTGTGTGTGTGTGTGTGTGTGTGTGTGTGTGTGTGTGTGTGTGTGTGTGTGTGTGTGTGTGTGTGTGTGTGTGTGTGTGTGTGTGTGTGTGTGTGTGTGTGTGTGTGTGTGTATACGTGCTCATCAAAGCTACGCTACCGCACTCGATCATGAATCTTTTTCTCCAGCGTAAACTCCTGAAGAGCGAAAAATTTCATTAACGAATTCAACATTTGTCACTGGCAATTTTCCTTTTCACGAGTTCGCTTGAGGAAAAGATTCGTATGGTATATTTTATCAAATTGCCAGTACTGATACAAATTAAAATTTCAAATTTTAATCGACCTCAGCTGGCCACATTTATTGAATACGCCTTCACAACGTTTCGACCTTTGGTTTAGGTCCTTTTCAAGTGAGATCCAGGAGTAAATGTTTTACATACAAACTACGTGAGAAGTATAAACGAATTGTACAATATCGCAGATTCATGATTGAGGTCCGGTTTCACTAAACGTCGCCTAGCTGTAATCTCGGTACAATTCACGTTTGTCCTTTTCTAGAGTAACCGTTGGATAGAAACGAAGAACGAATGAAGCTAAGCTTAAAGTTAAGCGACGTTGGCGAACCGAGCCTGAGGCGCGGTACTCATAGTCGATTCTTATTTCAAAATCATCCTAAGTATTGTCTTAAGAAGCTAATACGGCTCTGGTTGGTTAAAAGCACATTAAGACTATACTTAAGACGATCTTAAATATAAGAACGAACTATGACTACCGGCCTGAGTCTCGGAACAATGTCGGTATGCGCAGAAGGGATCGACGCAAGACGTAGCGAATAACGGAGCGGACCTGCTGGTTGTACTATGGTGTCACGTCGTGACGCTACATTATCATTCAACGGGCGGCATTGCAACTTCTCCCGCGTGTCGTTGCGAAAATTAAGTGCGTCGCACAGTCGCGCTGCTCCGCCGAGAATAGAGCGCGGCCAGAGGAATGCAAACGAGTACCTTTTTCGCGATACCTAACGCACGCGCGGCGTGCCGTCGCGTCGCGCGCGCGTTTCCAATTAACGCGATTAGCGATTTCATTAGCGCTAATTGCATCACGCGTCGCGCTTCTCTCGCGTGTACCCGCGGCGACAATTTGATTGATATCGCGCGATACTTCCGGGATACTGCCCTCTTTTTTTTCCCCGCGCACCTCCTCCCCCCGCCCCCTTTCGCGCCGCAACACGCAAAGGTCGGAAAATCCTCTTTTTTCGACTTTTTCGACCTGGAAGAAGTTTTTATCTCCCGGCGACAAGCTCGTAAAGTAGTCGGAACTATTTCCAGCCAGCCGACGCTTTTTGCGCGGGAGTTTTAATAGCGTTGTATCGCACGTTTCGCGACTCCGAGCTGCGGAGCTTTTAACAAGTTTCGAGGTGATTCCCAATCGCGTCTGCATCCCCACGTACAGGGTTAGGTTAGGTTGGGTTTATGGTTGGGTCAGGTCGGGTTAGGTTAGGTTCAACAAATCGTTCAACCTTTTCTTTTCTATCAAACACTTGAAATAATCGTTCAAGAGGATGAAGTAAAAAATTTAAAGACCAGCGGAAACTCGCAGCAGCTACGGGTACAAAATCGCGCTAGTCATTTCGCGATCCTGCAAAGAGTTTAAGCTCGAGGGCGGGGGGGGGATTTAACGGGACAGTCGTCCGCGGGCTGGCCTCGCTGCAGCGCGGCTACAGATCCAGCGGCAGATGTTTCGCTAATTAATTCCGGCAACCGTATCGCGCGCGTCGGCAGTTCTAATAAATTACAAGTTTCGCGAGGGAATCGCGTGAACGAGAGCGACTTACCCGTTACGCTGAGCAACGACATGGTCGGAGGATCCCCGGTCTGCCTGGCTCGGTCTCCCCCTCTCCGTGGTGTCTCTAATTCGCCGAGCGGTGCACCAGTCGCGGCATGTAGAGATCCGTGCGCGTAGTCGCGCCGCTCCACGGTGAAATCCACCGTCGGTTCGCGTGGACGCACTGTCTCGTATACGACACTGCAGGCTATCCCCCTGCACTAATAATCCCCTTTTTCTCTCTTTTTCTTTATCTCTCTCCCCTTCTCTCCCCCCTCTCTCTCTTTTCCCCTCTATCTCTCCCTCTCTCTCTCTCTCTCTCTGTCTCTCTGTCTTCCGTTTCTCTTTATCTCCCTGCTCTTTGCTCACTACGCGTCTCTATCGCGTGCAATGTACAGTATAAACGCGAGATACGTGTCGCACCCGCGCGTGCACAGAAACACACGTGTGCCGTGTGTCTTTAAATTCGCGTCGCGGCGTACGCGCGCCTCGAAAGCTCGCGAGCGAGGTCGGCGAGTACTTCAACGTTCTTCTCGCGGCTCTCCTCTCTTTCTCTCTCGAGAAATCCCGCTCACAGGTCCGCGTCACAGGTCGGCGCGCTCCGTCGCGCGCCGCGTCGAGGCGTCCGTTATCGCGACGCAGCGGGCTGCTTATCTGGATCGGCGCGATGCCCGGCTCCTCTCGCTCCCCCCCCGCGCGTCGCACCTATACACCCCGGTCCACCCCGCCACCCGCCCCCTCCCGCTCCCCGCTGTGTGTACACTGGCCGATGACCGTACGTGGCGCGGTGTCCCTGTGTGCGCTGCCGCCTGTGACACTCTGTTTCCTCGGTAATACCGGCGCGCGATGACGACCGATCGATCGGAGCGCGCGGAGGAACGACTGTGTATGCCGCGCGCGTTTATCACCACCGCGATTGACCGCCGTTACTCGCGTACGCGCGCGAGCGGCCCCGCGGCCTGAACGTTCAACGCGGGGCGCGTCGGCCGCGTTGCCCGACGATCGCCCATGTCACCCCCCGTGTCGCACTCTCCGTAACGCCGTCGATCCGGCGGCTGGTTGCTGGTAGCGCGGCTCTTGGTCACGCGCAACAACGCGGAAGTCCGTCCCGGCGGACGGGAAAACGTACGTCGCCGCTCACCGCCGCGTCGCTCCCGGGGACTCGCGCCGCTGTCGAACCCTCCGCGCGGGGGACGTCGCCGTCGGCGACACGCGGCAGCGCCGACGCGATCGCTGTGCAGCTACCGTTGATCCACCGCGGCTCGATGCTGTTGTCGTACTCGTGTACCACGCGCCGGCCGCTACCGCGGGCCAACCACATCGCCGAGGCCGCGAAGATGCGTAGGTCCGTCCGTTTCCCACCGACGTTGTGGCAAGCTCGGCCGAGGGTCCCTCGCTTCGGGAGAAGCGGCCACCGTGCCGCCGTCGTCGTCGTCGTCGTCGCCGCCGCCGCCGTCACCGTGCCTCTCGTTATTATCATAGTAGCGAGGACTGCGGGGGGCCGTGCCGTGTCGCCGTCGCGCGTCTCTCGCGCTCGTCAGGGGAACGTGCACCGCCGACGACGCCAGACACGTCGTCGCCGTCGTTCCGAGGCGCGACCGGTCACGCGCATTTCACCACGGTGCCGCGAAAGAGCGCCGGGCACGCAAGACAGAGAGAGAGAAAGAGAGAACGAGAAGAGAAAGAGGAGGGAGAACGGGGGGGGAAAAGAATCAGGAGTCACGGGGAAAGAACCGCGCGTTCCGAATTCGGAGCGGTGGAGGACGGCGAGAAAGAGAGACGGAGCGAGAAAGGGGGAAAGGATAGGGGGACGAGGGGACGAAGAAGATCGGGGGAGAGAAGCACGCGGCGTCACTCTTGGCGGAATAACTCACGTATACACCGGCATACCGTACTCTCTCTCTTTTCCTTTCCCCCCCTCCCCCCTCGCTCCTGTGGTTCCCTGCTGCTGCTGCTGATGCTGGTGCTGCTGCTGCTGCTGCTGCTCCTCCTGCCGCTCCTCCTCACGCTTTCCGTTTCCCGTGTCGACCCGCGGCCGCCGCGTTAACCCGCACGCCGTGTGCAACCCCCGAGACTCGGGGCTCCGCCGCGTACGCGGGGCGGGGAGGGGGAGGGGGAGGCGGCGGTAAACGTGCGTCAGCGACGTGCAGCGTTACCGGAGGGAGGCCCGCCGCGGCGGCGGCCTCGCGCGCGTTGCCGGGGCGCGTTGCGGCGCGCTCGCGTGCCCGCGTACGCCGCACGGGCTGCCGTCGACGCCGACGTTGATCCGCTGGCGCGTTATTGCGAACATACGCGGACTGCGCGACGTCGAGCACTGTGCGAACGGAGACGCCTCCGACACGCCGCCGCCATTTTGCTACGTCAAAGGGGTGACGGCGCCGGCGCCGACGGAGGGCCGGCCGGACCCGAGCGGCGCCGGAGCCGCCCGAGACCGCGCGCGAGACCGACGTGAACCTCGCCACCGAGCCGCCTCCTGCCCCCCTCCCCTCCTCCGGCCCCCGCCGCCCGCGCTGCCGCTCCGGAGCTCTCTGCCTTTTTCGACGATGCGCTCGCTCCGCTCCGGGGGTGCAACGTCTTCAGAAATCGTTGCGCCGCGCCGTGCCGCGCGGCCCGGCCTCGCGGGCCGATCGTTCGGAGTCCGCGTCGGGCATCCCCGATCCGCACGGACGTTATTTTTGCGCGGTCGAAGAAAAAACGAGGGAAACGAAATCTCCCGAGTAAATATGCCCAACGGCCTCGTAGATCCCCTAGAAATTACATCGCGTAATTTCGCGTAAATGCGCCTCGGCCGCGCGTGTTTCTCTTTCTTTCTTTTCCACGTGGAAAGGCCGAGTCTCGACTCCGGGAGGTTGGGTCGATCCCCGCGGTCGCCTCGCACCCGCGCGGGGCCAAGTGATCCTAATTAGCGATGCTGTCGGGTTTCGCTTGAATTTCCGGGGGGCGAATGCACGTCGCGAACTCGCGCGCCTTCGCGCAACTGTAACGCCGAGAGGGAGGGGGAGATTAGTCCCGCTGTAAGATGCCCAATTGCGATAGCAGCTGCCTACACCGGCGTGATTACTTTACGGGCCGATGGCGATCTCTCTAGTTACTTGGAACAAACCTTATCCCGCCGCCATCGCGAGGGGCTATAAAAAGAGGACCGAGACCGTTGCATGTGCCGCCGACGGCGCGATTCAATTTATGCGCCCGCGCCGCGCTGATCCGTATACACGGCCCCAATAATACGCATCCGAGATAATTTCATTCGGCAAATAATAATTCGCGCGCCGCGCCGCGCCGCCCGGAACGAATATAATACGTTACAGCGCCCGCGGGCTCTCCCGAAATTAGCTAAATTCATGATATTCCGCGCGTTGGTATTTCAGACGGAAAATTGGTTCATTAGGATGCCCGTGTAAACTGTTTTCTCGTTAGCGTGAGAAAGGGCCGTAAATGCGGGGTTGAACGAGCCGTGGGGCACGCAATGTCTGGCATTCGGACACCGCGAGCGCCGCCGCGCAGCGACGACGTTACCGCGCGCCGATCGCAACGGCGCGATAAGAAATTTTGCACGCTGTCGTAGAAAGATAGCTCGATCTTTAATTATTTCTGCAATCTGCACCCCATTCAAGCCGGCCGAATGGATCTGTCAAAGATCCGCCGCGATGCACGCGCGAGCAAGTGGTTACGGCGCGTTGCGGCGCGCCGCGTCGCCTCGGCAAGTAGTGAAACTCGCTCGCGCGCGCGTCGCGCGCGCGGCCGACTCGCGCCACTGAGGGAACGAGCCGCGCGCTCGCTCCGCGATTCTCACGAATTTCTCGCAAGTGCACGGCCGTGGTCGGAAATTTTATGGTAAATTTTATAGCTTTTGCTCGCGGATATGTGCAGTGACGCGTTATTAGAGCGAAAGAATGATATGTATACGAATATCTGTGCGATGATGCATACGAATATTCCGAAAACTTATTGTAAAACGTCGGACAACCTTTCTGACACGCAAATTCAGTAAATTTGCAAATACTCCATCTCGCTTCTACTCGAGAAATTTTTTTTATTATTGGCATATTGTCAATTATTTTTATACCAATGGGCAATAACCTTCGTCCAGTTTTTCTAATTTTAATTTTATTAATTTACTCAAGCGTAATCTGCGTTCTAATGTCTGTGTGAAGGAGAAATTGCGTTAATTCAATTGTACGATTTTTAATAATAAAAGATTATTTGTATTACTTCTCTAGTCCAGTTACAAAATTGTAGAACACGTATGCATTTTGCACAAATTCGGGAAAGCCTCAGTGATGGCTGGTGCACACGTTTCCGTTGTTGCGTTTGTTGAAAGGTTTAGAAATTGAATCACCCGTAATGTGTTTTATTCAGACCGAGAACTGCCAAATTATAAACGAGTTATACGTCCGGCACAAATTTTTATGACGTGATAGCGAGAGCATGTATGATACGTGTATTCAGATCTCCATAAATTGTTACGGAGAGGCTCTTGAATAGAAGCTAGCTGATCTTTTTGAAAAGACTCAGTGCTGTGTTATGCTTTCTTTATAAATATTTTGCAGCGCATTTCGAAACATCCAAAAGATTACAAGAGCACTCACTTAGACTGTTTCGTCGATTAATCTTCTCTTATGAAAATTTACGGATTATACTTTAAGCGATTCCGACAACCAACTGTTAAGATTCGCAACTCATTTCGAAGCACCCGATAAAAGAATAGCTAATCTATGTTAGTGATTCTCTCTTATCTTCTTCTCTTACACGGAGATATTTTTTTTAATTTATCCTGAAAATCGTGTAATCGTGAGACAACTTGGTATTTCGAAGAATTTTATGAGAGTTTTTTGAAATCTTACTATACATTTTACCAGCAAGGGCCAATTTCACAAACGTCGGTTAACTGTTAACCCGAGTTCAGTCAACTTCCTATTCTATTTTGTTATCTAAGAAGAGACAGAGAATCAATTAATCTTCGATCAGCAGTTGACCGGCGTTTGTGAAACTGGCCCTTTAGTGTACTTGGTGCACGTGTTACCAGTAGAATGTGTGGAAAATTTTCAAAAAAAAACCTCTCATAAAGTTCTCCAAAATGTCACGTTGTTCCACGATTGCCTGATCCTCGGGGTAAATTTTAAGAGAAAATTCTCCCCTCGTGTGAAAAATTACTCCTTGTACTTTAAGCGATTCCGACAACTCGGATATTATAAGGCTTGCAGCGCGCGCACGGCTAAGCATTAATTAGGTACTTTTACGCGCGATGAATTCCGAGTACACGAAGGAAAGTTCGCGGTATCGACTCATCTTCCGGATCCAACGGCTTCGTCAACGACGTCAGTACAATGTAGAGCGATTTCATTAGGCCTGGTCTATAAATAGTTCCTTCATGCTTCACAGTTATCAATAAGAAATGCGTCGCGCGCGGTAGCAACGACGTTCCCTTTGAACATCAAGGCGCATGCCGCTGTCACACATTGATATAAACTCTTTATTCCGCGTACCATGCAAACAACGCCCCCTCCCCCCTCCCTCCCCTCGTCGGAAATAACAAGATACTTGCTTTGTTCTCGAAAAGAAAGGCGCGCTGAAAGCTGGGACTCGATTCTTGAATTCATTCGAAGGAGAAACGTACGCGAAGACTCCGGCTCTTACAGAAAGGTTGATTGGCTGCTCGTACGGTTTTTAGCCAATCGACTTTCAACTTGTCCGCGAGAGCGGAACTTGCGCACACGTTCTCGAGCGAATTGGGGAACCGAGACCCTGCACCTCGGGGAGAGCAGCGCCTCGGCGTTTTACCGACTCGCGTATCGCGCCCGCGCCGTACAGATAATAACGTCTTTATCAATAACGATTACCACACGTGGCCAGATTATAGCCCTCGTATAGCTTCGCGACGTAACGCCGAGCTTCTTCTCCCACTACACCGTGGACGGGCGAGGCTCGGGCGCTCGAACACGCGCCGCGGTATTTGAAAAGCTCATCTCGCAATTACTCGTAATCGATATGTAACTCGAGGCGAAATTGAATCTCGCGAGCCCGTTAAACAGCAACAATATCCACCTCGATACGTGCGCGACCGTCGTAGCGGGGGGGGGGGGGGATCGCGCGCGAGGCGCGTGGACGATCTCTTTTGTGACGAGAAGAGGAAGAAAAAGGTAAAAGAACGGCGCGCAGCATCCGCTCTGGAAACGGTTTAGCTCGGAGATTGCGGGCTTCGAGTGTCACGGGCTGCAGTGGCGATCGAGGGCGAGCGCCGAGGGGGAGGAGGGGGGGGTGGAGGAAAAACGACAGGGGGTGGCGGCGCGGCGGGGGGACGCGCGAGCCTGCGTACAACGCGCGAGGGCGAACGCGCGCGGAGCGCGAATACGCGGCGCGGACTCGCGCGTACGCGCGCGAAACGTTTATCAGATTGTTGTAAATGGCATTTACCAGCCCGGATATCGCCGCGGCCGCCTATCTCCCGCGGAGAATCGATACACAATTATTTGCGATAATGCGACCCGATTTATGTCACGGGGTGGCGGCGTCAACCGTCGAATTCGCGACTAATTGAAACGTCCTGTGTGAAACGCGCGCGAGAGATCGAATAATCTTTCCCCGAGACACGTGTGATCCGTCAAACGCCGTTTTTAACGCGCGAATTCCGCTGCCGTTTGCAAGCTAATCGATCGTGTTAAACGTCGAGAGCACGTTGGAAATTCGCGCGTTCTCTCGCAACATTTTGTTTTTTTGTTTTTTCCCCCCCGTTGGCCGAGGCCAATACAGATTTGTAAACGCGCGGCATCGAAAAACATGATACGCGCGAATATTTATTTCATAAATGCCGGCAGGGGTTTAAAAGGTGCGAAGCACGCGCCCCGCTTTCGAATTTCGAAATAATTTCTCTGCGATAAACGCGCACAATGTAGCGGAAAGGCGCATTGACGGGACGTTTCGCCTCTTCGTGACGTTTATAGCGTAGTAAAAGGTACCTACGTGCGTTTTTCTCAGCACTAGAAGCTCGCGGCCGAGAGAGAGAGGTGCGTGCGCGGTTCGCGGAATCGACGGAAGACGTGGCAAGTGTTTGACACAACGAGAGAGAGAAAGAGAGAGAAGGAGAGAGAGAGAAAGAGATGTCCGAGGGATAGACACGACCGGCTTTTGATCGACACGCTGACGTCTCGCCGGGAGGAGGCGTTTAAATAATACAGCGATACGCTTTTTATGCAAAACGCCGATTGACCGGTGCAAAATGTGCCAGCGGTCGTAAGCCCGTATTGATCAGCCGCGCCGACGCGCCGTGCCACTTCCGTTAATGCAGACGCCGGCCGGGGAGAAACGCCGATACACCGAAATTCTCCGTGTTGCACATGGGCCATTAATACTATGGGCGTGCGGCATTCCGTTACTATATTCCGAGATGCCTATCCCGACGATGAAGGCAATCGCGGGCGTCGTGACATCCACCCGCCATCGATCACAGTTAAATTACCTGCCCCGCGCGTTCTCGAGTCGTCCCGCCGCGCCGGGTCCAGCGAGACGGATCGGGGGGGCCGCGAGGATAGCGGGACGCGCGGACGTCCGCGTGCACGACGGCGCGCGACAATTTTCAAAGACAAATCCTCCCGGTAAACACCGTCCGCCAGTTGGGTAACATCGATGCTACAATTTCCTGCCCGGCGATGTAATTGTTGTGCGCAACAATGTGTGTTACGTTGCATCTGTATCGTCGAGCGAGAAATTAGAATATTGATGCTGCGTAATTGTTGGCGGGCGTTCGGTGAGTTACGGGGCGATGTAAACGCATCCGTGATACGCGCCCGCGTCCTTTCGCGAGCGGCGAGCGTTTTACCGGACGCAAAAACCGCCGTGAATTTTGCATCGCTCGATTATACCGCGTCGTAATTGATTGCCGGCGATGTATAATTTATTATAATCCCCGACTTCCTCTTCCTCGCTTGACCGCGTGGCGTTCGTTGTGACGCGCGTTAGAAATAATACACGGAAAGAACAATGTAGCTGCTGTAGCTAAAACTTAGCAAAATAGGGACAGCTAATATTTTTAGTTGTGATAGCTCAATATTTTGCTACGACAGCAAACCGTTTGCTGTCGCGCCTAATACAATAGGCACAGTAGCAAAATATTGAGCTATCACAACTAAAATATTAGCTGTCCCTATTTTGCTAAGTTTTAGCTACAGCAGCTACATTGTTTTTTCCGTGTAAGCGGAACACAATCGCGCGTCGCGACGTCTTTGGTCCGGGATCGCGCGTTTCGAATGGCGTCGCAAACCTTTGCCGACGCTCGTCTTAGAGCCTGAGCAGAGAACGGCCTGTCTAGGATTCTACGATCTACGATCTATGAGTAATAGAGAAACTTCTCACTCACCGACCGGCGCAGCAGCGGAGTTCGCCACGTTGATTCTGTAACATGAAAATATGGAATTAATTAAAACAGTATTCAAGACAACTAACAGTGCAAAATATAATTCTTATACGTGATCAAACTTTTAATTCGGTTAGACGTTTAAATGATCAATGCGCGAAAGAGTTTCCGCGAGAGATCTTCGCGAGAAGAAACTTTTGTAAAACTTTTTATTATTTCCTGTTCTTTAATTCTTTCAAAATTATTGAATTATGAAATAAAACGACTTAAAATGAGCTGGAAAAGGATTAATTTTACACTGAATAAAAAGTGTTTACCGTAAAGTTGCTCCGCCGGCGCCCGATGCCTCCTCGGCCTCCTCCTCCACTCGGATTGTCTTCCGGCACACTCGCGAGAGCACAAAGATCGTTCGCGCGATTGTACACTTCCGTTTGCGAAGCCCATGTGAAGGGAACAAAAATTCTGTTCCGTCAAGTTCGCCTCCACTTCGAGTCGACGAATATTATACTCCAAGAACTGCCGAATCTCGGAAGCGTTGGCCATCGACAGGAACGGACATTTAATGAATATTTGTTCCTCGAATGGGCTTCGAAAAGTCTCTGGCTCGACTATTTAAACGGCACTCCCGAACGCGACGAAAATGGAAACTTTATGTTACACGGATCGCGACAAATACTTAAACGCGATTGAGAAATGTTAACAATTCCCGTACGAGACGACCGAGATTCTCGCAGGAAACGACCGCGTTACGAGGAGCGACGCGAAGACACGCGGAACGTCCGCTCGACTGACAAAGCCCGCGCCGAACAATTCGGTTAACAGACTGTTTTTCACCGAGGTGTTTTTACGGCGCTACGTCATTTCTTGGAATCCGCCGCCCGCGCTCGGTTTTCGGCCGAGTTGTTTACATCGCCACTCATTTCCTGGAATCCGCGCTCGGTCTATGACGCGCTCGGCGAAGCAACAGCTCACGTCGTATGCGCAAAAAGCCATTTACGCGACGACAGTCGAACGAGTCGGTTGATGTCCCGCGCCTCTCCGTGTGCCGTATTGTTCTTTCTTAATATGCGTTCGCGACAAGTGCGTGAAGAGACCGCGATCGCTCCCTTGCCCGTGCTACACCTAGGGGATGATCCTGCTCGCGGCTCATCCGAGCGGAGAAGTCGACACGGGCATTTTAGCACGACTATCATACTAATTGTAAGTATCGTTTTTGCATGATTTCACTACGATTTTTAACCGTCTTCTTATGTTGAAATGGCACCCCCCCCCCCCCCCCAGTGAGAAATGATTCGTCGATCGACGTCAATTCGACGGTGTCGATCGTCGTCGATCGACGAATCATTTCTCACTGGGCCGAGTCCATAAACGGTCTCGATACGATGATCTTTGTCCATTTATTCACCCACTCGGATGAGCCACAAGCAGGATCATCTTTGGATGTAGAACGGGCATCTTTTCATATTTTAACACAAATATATTTTTTTAAATGTAGCGCAAATAATTATAGCGAAAGTAAATTGCACATCTGTACCGTTTCACACAACTGTTATCGATCTCATAGCGTTCGTTTGGCCAACATCGTTACGTTAATAAGCTCTGTACAAGCAGGAGAGCCATCGTACTTTACGTTGTTACGAATTAATAAATGGCAAGAGTGAATAAAGATCATCATTGACGGTTATAATATAAGAGACTCATTTGTACAAATGGTTGTACAAATGGTAATCCGCTGACTCGAGCACTAACGAGTTGGCTCTGTAACCAATAAAATTGCCGTTTTTTTTTTTCATAAAAACACACGTCTAACCCCAAAGAATGATTTCGAAAGCTGCGCGCGTGGCACAATTCGGCTTGTGGCAATATTTGTACATTTATTTTCAAATAATACCCAGTGAGAAATAATTCGTCGATCGATGTCGAAACGATGTCAAATCGACGTCAAAATGACGGTTTCGATATAGATACGACATCGTTTCGACGTCGATCTACGTATCATTTCTGACTGGGTAATCCATACAGCACCATAGACATTGAAAAACATTGTTGCAATGTTTCTGAAATGTTTCTGAAAGCTTCGGTGCTGTGTGGGAAGAGAAGGGGCTCAGAGCCTGAACAAGATTGTGGTGTCCAAGAAACTTTTATCTTAGTTACAAATGCACATATACGTTTGCAATATACAGACATGTCTGACCGCGTAATTTTAAACGTGTCCGTTTCATTATTTATTACACTCTTGTATGATCGACTGCGCGATCTTCGGTTCAACTCTTATATTGCGAATTCATTAGCGTTTTAAATTGTATTTATTCTCCAATATGATCGACTGCGTAATCTTTGGTTTAATTTTTATACTGCGATTTCATTAACGTTTTAAATTGTATTTATTCTTCTTCTTTTGTACTGAAGATGATCCAATAAGGACCGAAACGTATATGTATATGCATTTGTAACTAAGATAAAAGTCGTTTGGACACTACAATCTTGTTCAGACATGCAATACATCCAAGAATCAAAGCGCTAGGCTTCTTTAATCGATGCTCGTATTTGTACGCATCTTGTATCGTCGCATTGAAGCTCTCGTTGCTTCGGGTATGATTTGTTGGCTGTTTCTAGGTTGAAAGCGCGAAATAATACGCGAAACGCATGCGCGACATTGAATTTAATTTTTTATTACTTTCGGACGTTTTTGTGTCTTTTCGTGTCTCGATTAATCGTTAACTCGGTTGCGTTTATTGTACGGTGTCGATGTCAAAGTGTAGAATTTTTGTACGATGCTCTTGTGCTCGAGATTATTTTAAGTGCGCGACCGAAATTGTGCAGATCTGCGTTATCCACTTGGCAAAATGTGTTCGCCGGCTACGTAGTTCACGACCACGTTTTCCAATGTCCACAGGGGGCGCGTCGCATTCGAGAATCATCTGAAATCCGGCCGTGGCAGCTCTCGGATTTCTCTGGGGCGTGGATCATGCAGAAGCCTTGGGAGGGAGACGTGCTCGCGACTGAAAACGGGACTCGACTATCACCGCCCCCTATGCGCACGAAACGTAACTTCTTGAACGCAGCCACGGATATTTCCGGCCGGTAACACGTCACGTCCACAATAATTGTATATTTTGTATTAGTAAGATACACGATCGCTCGGTTCCACTCGACGCTACGATCACACAGTGCAATTGCACAACGAGGCATAAACACAACAACTAAAAATCTGCATAATTTAAGCCCCCAAAAAAGTTACAGGCGTAAAGAGGAGCCTACGTTTCTCTTTTCAATGCGAGAGTATGCGAAATTTCTGAAACACCGCAAACGAAAGGATCCAATTTAACCCGCTGCGCATTCAATGGTGAAACCCCGTGACAACTGCGCGCGCGAACCAGACGAGGAGGGAAAAAGAAAGGCGAAGGCTAGGACGCGGGCAGAAGCTTCGCCGCGGCGACGACGGGCGGCGCCGGGCGCGCCGTCGGGCCGCTCGAGTGACGTTTCAAGCGGCGGAGGCGCCTCGGCGTGGCGACTGGTCACGTCGCCGTGGCCGCCGCGACCAATTGGCGGCCGCCGGCGCGCACCACGTGACCGAAAAAATCGAAATGGTGGACGTATCGGGACGCAGGACCCCGTGCGGTGACGAAGGACGATAAACCTGGGCAAGGGCCCCCCCGTCCATCCGTGTGATCGGTGACCGTGCGTGAATCCCCGCGGCGGGCGAGCGTGCTGATCTCGCGCGAGGTGCCCGCGGCAGGTAGAACCGCCCCGCGATTTCGAGCGCGTCCGCGGCCCCCGCGGCCCAGGCCGGTGTGCGCGCTTTGCGGATCGATCCCCGACGGTGCGCGCCGATCGACGAGCCGACCGACCGACCGACCGCGGGCCATCCGTGCCGCGTGTTTACCCAAGTGTCAATCCGCGCCGTATTGTACGCGCGCGTGTCCGTCCGCCCGTGTCCCCGCGGCGATCCCTCGGCGAGGAACGGTGGCACGGCCGACGTTGGCGCGGCGCTCCACCGCGAGCGGGCCGGTCGTGCGCGACAGCGCGGCGACGGTCGTACGTCGCTCCTTCCGCGCGACCCGACGGCGACGTGAAGGCGTACCCGCGGGGCAGCGGATGCGAGAGGGCGAGCGACGCGAGGACCTCACGAGGACAGGACAGCGGCTCTCTCGCGCGGCCACCACCACCGCGACGACGACGACGACGACGACGACGGCGACGGCGGCGACGGGCCTACCTCGGCCCGCAGTAGCATGCCGGAGCGCACCGCGCGGGCCCCGCTGCTCCCGCAGGACGATGCGCCGCAACGTGGATCCAGCGATCGACAGAGGAGGTAAGGACGGACGCGAAAGTATCGCGAGGTCGTGCGAGCGTTCGCTCGCACGCTCGCTCGCTCGCGCATGCCTCGCTACGATGCATTCCTTCGCGGTGATACCGCGCGCGTGTCGCGCGCGCCCCGTGATTCAGCCTCCCGCGAAACGCGACGGCTTTATCGCGTGTTGACGTCGAGCGGCAAAAGCGTGCGGTCCGTGACCCGCCGTCAGTCCGCGCGGCCGGGACCCCGCGTATCCAAATGTCACACGGCCGTCGACTACCCCCCCCCCTCCTCCCCCTCTCTCTCTCTCTCTCCGCAGCTACTCGCCGTGCGAGGGGAAATGAGCGATCGCGGTGTCGCGGAAACGCTAAATACCGCTCGCGGCGTTGCTCCGCGCGTGGCGCGGCGAGGCGAGGGCCTCGCCGCGAGGCGCGATCAATCCGCCGCCGATCTCTCGCCGAGAGCCCCTGGACCGCGACGGAGCGCCTTGTATATTCCTGGCTGACCGGGCCAGGTATGGGCGGGGGGGGGGAGAGCGCGTCGGTGCTTTTCTCGCGTTCGGCGACGGCGCGGTTACTTTTGCGTGCACGCGTTCTCGCCGGAAAAGCGCACGACCTGGAAGGGCGGGAGGGGGTGATTTTAAATTTCCACCGTGCGCATCGTCGACCTCTCGCGGCGCGCACGTGCGCCGCGGCCGGAGCGATCGGCGGAGGGGAAAAAAAAAACGTCGGGATTATATTCCCGTCCTGTCTTCGCCCTTAATAGCCGCCTTCTAATAGCCCCTTGTCCCGGCCGCCCACGCGATCCGCGACGTGCGTTCCTCTATCTTGACGCGCTCGCTTTTTAAATAGAGACGCGAGGCACCTGTTCCATTCGCGTTACGCGTGTCGTCGCGCACGCGAGAGAGGCGTTTGTATCGCGGCTAAAATCAGGATTGGTTTATTTGATGCGCGCGTAACGCGATCCGTCCGCTGTATCGATTTTGAAAGTTTTGCCGTTTCCGCGTAATGGTGCTCCAGCAACCGCGCTCGAATGTGTCGAAACGACAGATGTCCAAGTGCGACCCCAACTCCTCTTTCTCTCTCTCTCTCTACACACTGATGCGCTCTACGTTTTCTTCTCCTTTCCAGATAGGACACTTTTCTGACTTAGAAAGCTTTGTGCAATAGACGGAAATGACTGCAGCCGCAACTGTAACACTATTGCAATAAAATATGCTGAAATACTCAAGAGGCACGAGAATATTTACAATACGCTGAAGACCTTGGATATTTGTCGGAACAAGGAAACTAAGTTACTGCCTACCAACAATAGCACGCCCACGCTTGTCACCTGTTCAGTGAATGTTGTGATAATAATTTAATGCCGTCGGGGGGAGGAGGTACCATTGGACAGTCCGTGTTAAACGCATGATATTGTAAACGAGACAGGCCACTCTACGACTCTAAAAATACTCTAACTCCTAATGAACAAATCAGGAACAAGGACCTATCGAATTGACTGAACGCATATAAATGTATTTAAAAGGAGGAAGGAATAATTCTAACGACTCTATTTTATTAACAATTATTAACGGTCGGAATACTCTACGATATATATTGAGAAGGACCTAGAGGTAATTTCGAAAGGGCTTTACAAATTTCTCATCGATACGCTTTGCGACCACGAGAGAATTGCAAGTTTTTATTTTATATCACACAGATTTATTTTTAAAACTTTAAGTGATACAATATATAATTGAAGTTGATTACCTCTCTCTCGGAGCCCAGCCAATTGGCAAGTGTATTTGGCAAGAGCTAACGATCCAAATTGCATTGAAAAGAAAAAGTATATAGTAGAATTAACGCGTGTAAATAATCATTGACGTTGTATTGTTGCGAGCTTGTGAGACAAAATGTATAATAATTATTTTAAACGCTTAAGTCAGTGGTTGTACATAACGTGTGAACAAGAAGGGCAAACAACGTATTTGAAATACTATATAGATGGCAGGGGACACACTTGTTAACCCTCTTGAATACAAGGTACGCCGTTAGAACGACTTGATTCCTGCGATAGATTATTCCTTTGTCTTTACAATTTGTGATCTCAGGGTTAAACGATGGACAACAGTGGGTCCGGAGTGGTGCAAGTGTTTGTGGGCGAATGGAGCCCCGAATATGAGGCGCTCTCCATTAAAGCCACGAAACAAACCTCATCAGCCGAGATAGTGGAATGTATTATCGAAAGACTCGGACTGGTTGACGCTTCTGTCTCGAATGGCTACGAGTTGGCAGAAGTGGTAGGGAATTCTGTCGGGCAGGAATGTAAGGAAAGGAGACTCGGCCCCGCCGAGTGCCCCGTAGCACTCATGTTACTGTGGCCGAAAAACGATACTCAGCAAGAATATTACAGGTCTATTATATGTTCGAATATAATTACGCTTTATTACTAGTCGCTTGACTCATGGCCATTTCTCACGGGATAATTTTCATCCTTGATTTTTCAGATTTTACCTACGGAAGAAGCAACCGGATTATTTGTGGTCTGACAGTAGGTTTCCTATGGATCCTCAACTCCTGAAAGACTATTTTAATAGATTCCTTTATCAACCGCGTGACAAGGAATACCCAGATCTGTGTCAGCTCCCGGATCTGAACGAGCAAACGCTACTGGATAATTTGAGGGCAAGGTTTCTGGCTGGCAACATATACACTTATGTTGGCAGCATCCTGATCGCCCTGAATCCATTCAAATTCTACCCTATCTACAATCCGAAATATGTGAAATTGTATCAGAACAGAAGATTGGGTCCGGACATACCTCCTCATATATTTGCCATAGCCGATGCAGCTTACCATTGTATGCTTAAGGAGAAGAAGAATCAGTGTATCGTTATTAGTGGTGAAAGCGGTTCTGGTAAAACTGAATCAACGAATTTTCTGTTGCATCATTTGACGGCGCTTAGTCAAAAGGGTTCGCATGGCAGCGGTGTGGAACAGACGATACTCAGCGCTGGACCTGTTCTAGAAGCGTTCGGCAACGCAAAAACGGCCCATAATAACAACAGCAGTCGCTTTGGGAAATTTATCCAGGTGAATTACAAGGAAAATGGAATGGTCCACGGGTATGTTCTGCATCAATAAACACGCTAAATGTAAACTGTAAAACATAAAGTGACCTAAATGCATTTTGTAGTGCTGTGGTTCAAAAATATCTTCTGGAGAAGTCGAGGATCGTTTCTCAAGGACGAAATGAGAGGAATTATCACGTGTTTTATTATCTATTGGCTGGCGCGAACGAGCAAGAGAAGCAGCTGTTGCACTTGGAGAGCTGTGATCGGTACAATTACTTAAATAAAAGCGGTTGCTATGGACTGGAAAATATCGACGAGCGGCATGAATTCTCGAGATTAAAACAATCTATGGAAATGGTGGGCTTTACGGCGGAAAAGCAAAGGCGACTCTTCGCAGTTCTGTCGGCAGTCCTTCTGCTAGGTGATTACCGAATTGCCGATATCACATAGCGTCGCTAAAATAACTCTACATTCTTGACTTAGGTAATGTTGAGTTTCATCCGAGAAAATCGTATCACCATCACGACGAAGCTGTAGGGGTTAAAAATCCAGAAGTAGTTGCGTTGATATCGGAGCTTCTCCGAGTGAAACAAGAGACACTGTTGGCCGCACTCACTGCCAAACGTGCAAGAGCTTCCGGCGAGACTTTAGTCATCAACTATAGACTTCCCGAAGCGATTGCGGCACGCGATGCCATGGCAAAGTGTCTGTATGGAGCTTTATTTGATTGGATTGTGCTGCAGGTAGTACACATGCTTTTATTTCTATAAATAGCTGTGGATATTAACTGCACGACACTTGAAATAATTCGTATCGCTTATATCAGGTGAATCATGCCCTGCTTTCTAAGAAGGATACTCTCAGAGATCATCAAGGCAATAGTATAGGTGTATTAGACATATTCGGCTTTGAAGATTTCAAAACGTGCAACAGTTTCGAACAATTGTGCATCAATTACGCGAATGAACAGTTACAACATTACTTTAACCAACATGTTTTCCAATACGAGCAACGAGAATATAGAAAGCAGGGAATTAGATGGACAGACATAGGGTACAGCGACAACTCCGGATGTCTCAATCTCATCGAGGGGAAACCGAACGGTCTCTTGTGTCTTCTTGATGACCAGTGCAAGTTAGTATTATTACTCGAATACATTGTTTTCTCCTAGCCTGTGAAATATGTTTCGAACATTTGACTTTACTTTGCAGTTTTCCCGGTGCGACGAACGAGACGTTGCTACAGAAATTTAACACTGTGCACAAAGAGAATCCGTTCTATGAGGCGCCGCAGCGCCGAGAGGCGGCATTTGTTGTACGCCATTACGCCGGTGCGGTCAAGTACCAAGCTGCCAATATGAGAGAAAAGAATCTGGACTTAATGAGACCCGATGGCGTAGTTGGAGTATTGAAAAATTCCTCCCTTGCCTTTGTGCGGGAGTTAGTCGGCGCTGATCCAGTCGCCGTATTCCGATGGGCCATATTGCGGGCCTTCTTTCGCGCTCACTTTGCATTTCAAGAAGCCGGTCGAGCGCACAGACACGGTAGAGGTAGATATTAAATTATGACGCGTTTGAGTATCTTTGATCTATCGATTAATGCGAGAAATTAATTTTAAAAAAATGTGCTTTTCCTTCCAGTTGATGGCAACAAGACGTCTGTGCAAAACAGGTACAGAACACCCAACGAAAATTTAATAAGGTAACGTGTAAATTTTTCCTTTTCTTTCTAATTAAATAACGTTTTATACACGAACGGTAATAAAAAAGAATATCAAACGCTTCTACCTGTTAACCTAACAAAGCAAGATATAGTAATAAATTGAGAATTGTGTGAGAAGAAAGTGCTTGTTGCGCTTGTTTTTCGTGAATTTTGGACATGTTTGATCTGTATATTGTCTCATCTACTTAGTATAAATCTACGTTGTGCGTCAGTAATACATGCATCACGCTCTGACAAAGTTCTTATAAATTAAGACGAATCTCTTTATTATATTTATATTGGCCATCTGTCTTTTATCCCTTTGTAGCCATCTTGTGACGTTGTCGACAGTCAATCTAACTATTAACCGAATTGCGTAAGTGGTCTTTTGATCCACTGTATGTGTAATTTTCGCAAATGTTGTACGTTGTTATACATCCCATGGATTTACAACAAATTAACATATATTTGCATTATATTTATGACGATCAATCTCAAATTTAGAAAACGTAAAATATCCACTCTGAATAAATTTGTAAATCCATATATTTCGCTCCAATTATGTGTGTCTACAGATTTTATTTCGATTTATGTTTGCACCCCTGTTAGCTACAACTAGAATGCAATTTCCACGACATTTCCATACAATTACATTCTATCATTGTACAATGTTCCTCTTGTTATTGTATCTGGGCATGATTTATGACGCAAAACTGAATTTCTCTTTATACAATTCATATCAGTCATCTCATTTTCTCTTTCACTTTTTGAATCATTCATCAATCGATGAAACATTCCCTGAGAATATATGAAGCTCGGTACACACCGCCGAAAGAAAAGTCATGTTAAAAATGAATGACCAACTATTTGTAAGCGATAGTTAATCGTTAGGAGCATCGTCGGTCGACGAAATAATTAAGAACTAGAAAATTTTTCAGTTCACACAAACATACTCGCCCACCAAGTTATCAGAAGCAGCGCAGCGTATGTTTACCATCGGCTACTCCTTCTGCTACATTATCCTCCATACAAACCGAAAACAACGACAATATAAACAACAATCGTCTATCGTGGCCACAATTTAGAAATATTAATCAGACGCAACACCCGTCAAACGTTACCTCGACGAAGGGTGGTTACATATTACGGGGCAGGGAAGACCAGTCCCATAGTAATAATAAATTCAGACGAGATAGTCACACACCGCTAGAGAGGGTGCTTCCAAAAGACGAAGCGAACGTCATGGAACGCGCCAATCAGATTGTCATGTATGTAAAACGTATCTACTCGATACTCATTTAATAACGTAATTTAAGCTACAGAGAAAAATTAATTATCTACATAGACCAAGATTTAGTACGTGTTCTATAGCAATTCCGGGTGGTGATGGGTTTCTTTCTTGTAAGTGATAGTCACTTTCGTAAGTCATTAATAGTCAAAATTGCAAACCGTGGCTTTATCCATTTATCTTAACTTCTCAACGACATACCGCTGCATCTTTTGACAATGAAAGAACATCATGTATCATCGTAGAATCACCACTTCTCATTACATGTAGTTTATCGCCAATCTTGCAGTTGTTCTCGATATATTTAATGATGATTGCTGCATGCTGAGTGTCTTGTAAGTTTTTTTTTAAGAAATTAACCATTTATATGAAGATTGCATCTATCTTATTTGCAACTACGGTTATCAGTAAACCTTGAATAATTTGTAACATAGGATACAAATATTACTTAGGACAATGTGTCAATGTAAATTACTTTTATCCTAATTGCAAATTGAAAATAATATAACCTTACGTTAATTATTTCACTTGTACCATCATCATAACATTCGTCTGTCAAATATTTCTAGATATTACCCTTAAGCTTGCTATGTTTCTTACTATATCTACTGTATCATATCCATTTTCTAGTATTTCTTATACTCTGTATCTTATCCTTATATTCTGTATATTAGATTTTGTATATTAGGTAGACATACGTTTCCGATACGTATAAAACACTGCTGGTAGAATGTGACTAGATTGTAATTCTTTCTCCTGCATATGTACGATTATTATCAAGTCTGATACACTATTTGTATATACATACAGATAATGTAAACCACAATAGCAGGAGAAGGAATGTACATCGTACAATATCGAATATCACAAATGTTATAGCATCGGAATGTTTACAGGAAAAATAAATCGTTTCGGCCGAGGGAACGCGGTAAGAAAGGTCTAAAAAATCTGCAGACTGTAAAGACACTCGCAGGAAGAACTCAGAGCTACGGTACTGGGCCGGGAAAGGCCAGAAAACAGCCTATGACCGTTTCCGCGCAATTTCAGCAGAGCCTGCACAGTTTGATGGACACTCTGAATCAGGCGAATCCTTTCTTCATCAGATGTATCAAGAGCAACGCTAATAAAGTACCGAATGAATTTGACGAGGAAACGGTGCAACGACAGCTGCGCTACACAGGCATGTTGGAGACTGTCAGAATAAGGCAGGCCGGTTTCAACGTGCGATTAACTTACGAGGAATTTATACAACTTTATCGAATGCTACTTCCCAAGGGTCTTCTGAGCTCGCAATCCGACGTGAGGGACTTCCTACTGACACTCAACCTCAACAGAGATAATTATCAGTTGGGTACTACCAAGGTCTTCCTCAGAGAGTCCGAAAAGATCAAACTAGACATTGAACTCCACCAGCAAATCATAACGAGTATCACTACTATACAGAAATGGTTCCGCGCTTGTCTGGAAAGGAGGAAGTTCCTTAGATTGAAAAATGCCATTGTACAAATACAATCTTTCTGGAGAATGGTCTCAGCGCAACGGCTAGCCCAGGTTCTTCGTGCAAGAATCGAAGCCGCAGTACATATACAAACTGCCTGGAGAGCGTACAAACAACAGAACTGGTTTAAAAAATTGAAGTCGTGCGTAATCACTTTCCAGGCATACGTTAGAGGAAATAATGCCAGAAAGAGATTTAACGAATTGAAGAAGCGAAAAAGACTTTTGCCAGACAAAATTCAAGAAGTCAAAAAAATTCAAGAATACAAGGAGCTTATGTACGATAAAGTGTGCGCCAAAGATAGCGATGAGTAAGTAATACATATCAATGAGTAACATGATATGAATAACGACTTTATATTATTTCATTTTAATGTGCAGATTTGCGGAGGATCGAAGTCTGACAGAATATGGCGAATTACCTCGCAAAGTAGAATCTCAAAATCGCCTCGCGTCAGCAAGGTAAGTATCAAATAACTTAGAGAACAGTTAGAACGCGAAAGCTCATTGATCTTTTTGCAGGAGCGATAATGCATATCGAGACAGCACTTTGGATACAAATATCTCGTACTCCAAACGAAAGCTGACTCCGAACAAACGAATTTTGCGCGAAGCCACACCGTTGAAGAACACGGAAGCCTATCATTTCGACGAGATGACAGAGCGTAAAAGTAGTCTCGAGAGTCTGACCAGCCTGAGGAGTTACGAATCTCAAGCCAGCATCAACAGTTCTGAATCGCAAGAGAACTCCGGCTCGAGGCCGGTGCCGAGCACGAGGACAAAACGCGGCGATCATTCGCCGGCGGTCGCATCGAATGCAAGTCTAATGAACGCGTCCAGTCGACTCTCCTCCGCGAGTAGAAGAACCGACAGTTCCTCGACGGGGTACAGTGACGGTGAGACCGAGAGCGAGACTCCGAGCGCCGTGCAAAGTGCCCCGCCTGTTTTCAATACGAGCCCGCCGTACGTCAGTTCGCGTGACATGAAGTATCACCCCGCCAACGTAAATCTGGCGCACAGTCCGAATTCGGATATCTGGCGTCGCAGAGTGGATTACTCGCCCGGCAATTACAGCGACTACTTCATGTCGGTACCTCAGAAAGCAACTATTACCCGTTCTCCGAACGTTGCCCATTACAAGAATTTGACGGATAGCGTTTTTGAGCAGGCCCGACAGGAGAAGCCTAACGAGGCAGCGAACTATAATGTCAAACTCGATACGAGCGATCGCTTCGTTCAGATGGAAAGCTTGGCGAGCGGCAAGCAACAACGTGGGCTCAGTGACAACAACGTAGCTAATGAGCGAATGGAAAGTATCCCGGTATCGCCGGTAAAGCGAGATCAAACCAAGCACGGATCTACCAAGAATATCAAAGATCTTGCTTACTTGCGGCGACAAAACTCGGAAGGAGATACTACGATGAAAATCGTGGATGTCAATGACGACAGTACTTTGAAGAGCACTTTATTGAGGGGAACGTCTCCAAAGGAAAAGAACTCGCGTTCGAAAGAGAAGTACGAACCGGACGTGCCGGTGAGAAACGCAAGACGAAATAGACCTTCGAGGGAGGTTCAGTGTCGATCTATGGGCGAGAGCGTGGTCGGAGCTAACACGGAAACGCGAAATCTGCTTCTCGGTACGATTAAGGAAAGCGACTTGAATAAAACGACAAACGTATGGTCTCGGAAAGATTATCCGCACGAGACCACTTCTCGATCCGTTACGGATTGGCCCATGAACAAGAATGAAGCTACTTACAAGGTACAGCAGCCCGGTAAACGCATGAGATCCAACGCGATCACGACTCTCGAGCTGCGAAGGCGAAACTCCGATCCAGCTACGAAGATCTCGGGTCTGAGCGAAGATAAAATGGGACAGGACACCAGCTCGAACGATCTGAAACTCGCGCCTGGTATGAATCTTCTTGAATGGAAAGGCAATGTGTTTACTTTGGCCGGCCACCGTTTCCGAAAAGTGGCGAGATTTGCGAAGGACGACGTATGCGTGTGCTGCCACGAGAAAATGGACGCGTTCGTGACGCAAGGCTACAAGTGCTCGGAATGCAAGCAGCTGTATCATGTCAAGTGCATTCAAAACGGCGGAGTACTGAAAATGCCGTGCTTACTGGCCAACACGCCGAGCAGACGGAAAAACAGGAAACCACCGCGCACACCGTACGATACTACGAAACAAACGGTCGCGTCCAAATTCAGTTTAACCGGCACGTCAGCCTTCTCCGATAGCACGGACAAGATCATTTCCGACGCCAAGGAGTTGGCGCTGATGCAAGACTTCATCACCAAGAAGATCTACAAGATGGAGAGTCAAGAGGAGGGACGAAAACCGAGCGAGGTGGATCGCGTTTTCAAGCAGGCCCTTAGAAAATTCAAGGACGACCTGGTGATCACGTATAGCGTCGCCATACAGCAAGGCGTGGAGGGCAACATCAAGTACACCGATTTGATCGCGAACTTTCTCCACGTTATGGAAACTGTCTGCAAGCAAGAGAACACGAGGGAAGACTTTCCTGTAACGATGGGCGTGAATGCGTTCAGAGGCTTCATGAATGAATTCATGGCGATGGTTAAAACTGAAGCTCCTGAAAAGCAGAGCAAAAGCAAACGGAAGAAGGAGAAGAAGCGGAAGCAGGAAGAGCCCATACGACATGGCAGTCACATGTTTCAGTTGACCATCATCAACATACCCACCGCTTGCGAATTCTGCTCGTTTTTCTTCATGTGGCCTATTGAACGGGGACTCGTTTGCCAGAGTAAGTAATCCATGCGCGCGTTAAATCCGTTTCTACATTTCTTCCTTTTATCTTTTTTACTTTAAACTTAATAATTCTGACAAATGTGTTTCGTTTTTAGATTGTAAACTAACATGCCACAAAAAGTGCTACACGAAGGTGTCGACGGAGTGCGGCAAAGACGGTTCTCTGCCTGAAACGAATTCGCGCAAAGTATTCGGTGTACCACTGTACAAGTTGGACTGCGGTGACGGCAAAGTACCACTCGTGGTAGATCGATTGATCACGACTATCGAGATGCACGGTCTCTATACCGAGGGTATATACAGAAAGAGTGGTGTCAGTTCGAAGGTGAGAGAGCTCAAAATGAAAATGGACGGGGGCGACTTGGAGAAGGTGGATTTCGAGAACTATCAAGTGCACGTCCTAGCGGCGGTGCTCAAGAGTTTCTTCAGAGACATGCCGGAGCCGCTCTTGACTTACGAATATTACGACGACTTCCTGCACGCGGCCAACTTGACGGATCCGCACGATCGAATCAGCACGCTCTTCGCCATACTGAAGAAATTGCCGAAACCCAATTACGATCTGATGGAACGCCTGATTGTCCACCTGGCGCGAGTAGCGCGACACGAGGTGGACAATAGAATGTCGCCATCGGCTCTGGCCATCGTTTTCGCACCGTGCATCCTCAGAACGAACAGGACATTGCCCGCGCAGGATTCTCTCCAAGACGTGGGCAGGCAGACGCGCTGCGTCGAAACGATCGTGCAGGAGAAGTTAAGAGTAGTCAGAGCGACGCTAGCGGACATAAATACTCTCGAGTCAGCCTGTCACACGGCGACTCACCGACTCTCCAGTTTGCGATCGTCCAAGATCTTCAGCCCGGAAGAGTTGAACGTGGCCGCCTCGAGCGCTGCGGGACGGGCAGCCGCGATGGATCGCGACAGGGATCGAGGGGATGAGGAGGAAGCGCTACTCGTCGACCATATACAAGAGATTCAGAAGGAAAAGGCCCTCTTGACGTCTACTCTACCCAGTTTAACGAGGGCCTCCTCGGACGACGATCTCCTCTTGTCAGCCACGGATCTGGACGACGGGTCCCTCGACGATCTTCTCCCATCTTCTGCTGGTGAGTATTTTCTAAGAATTGATTCTGCAAGTCGATCAATAATTTTACCAATCAAGCTATTACAAAATTGGCAAAGATACATAAGAGATCGTGCATTTAATTACCTCATTGTTTTACCGAGTGCTTGGCTTCTAAGACAATTCTTTATCGTCAAATGAAATGACCAAAGATTAAGATGGGTTACTAAGATAGGCATAGATAGGTTTCTCTAGGTTTAAGATCTTTTACTTTTATCAATCGCAGACGGACTCGTAAGGAAGAAGCCCGTTCAAAGGCAAAGTTCAGCAGACAATTCGTTTCCGACGATTATCAATATGGACGACGACATGGTAATGGTATGAATAACGTCCGCGAATAATGCGCATTTCGAATGCAATCAATAGCAATCCGATAGGTGATGCGAAATATCGTATTTCGTATTTCGGCAGAGAATCGACAACTTTAATTGCTGGTCTTTTCAGCCGTTTATTAATGTGTTGAGACGTAGTAGTGAACGCATTACAAATAGCTCTCGTAATTTGTTGACTCCATAAAAAAAAAAAGTTTAATCGTGCGACTGAAATAATTCCATTCTCTTATCGAAGTAGAGAGGTATCTGAAACTATTTCGTACAATGTATTAGGAAGAAAACTGCACAAATTTTAACTTACGATTAACCGCGTAATTTTATTCGTAATGCATTCCCCACCCCCCTTTTTTTTAAGACTGTCGAAGTATCTTAGGCGCAACGTTTCGTTCGTGTGTAGATCCTAAAAAGAAACATTAATCACGCGCCGCTTTACACATTTTAAATATAAGAAATGAAAGCACAGAAAAACTAGAAAGTATTTAAAGAAAGGCGTACTGCTCTTAATTTATATATATATACATTTATATATATTTTTTAAGAAATGTCCGCTTATCAAAGTGATGAGGGAGTCATACCGAATTACTTGTTTTTACAAATTTACGTTCATAAAAATGTAATTTATTGTTGCACCGTGTTGCAATTCTCGGTAAACATTCTTCTTTTTACGGAGAATCCTTGTAATGTGGGTGTGTAGATGCGCTGTTCCTTAACTGTTCGTTTAGCGTTAGTAGATCTGCCACTTCGAAACCATCTCTTCCCAAAGGGTCTACTTGTCACGTTCGGGTGGAATCGATAATCGACCGCCTTGAATTCCTGCGAGATGTTTTTACCGTATTTCGTTATGACGTCTGACGACGATAGCCGATTTAAAACGTTAGGTTTAGGCGCGGGAATTTAAGGGACGACCAAGAGAGAAAGAGGAAACCAAAACATAGTTTGTACATATTATGCAATATAACAATTTCGTATTAATCTGTTATTATTGTTGAATTTACGCGAGAGACGTTTAACAAGATTATATTTCTACTGTCGATATTCGTTGTAGGGGTAACCACGTCGTTATCGGGTCTCTATCTCGGTTTTAGTTTCATCTCTGGATCGATTTTTACTTAATTTACGCGTTTTTTTTCTCATGCTCAGATGCGTCCCCAGAGGCATGTGTGCGTATGTAAAGTAAACGCACGCGTTACATACAAGTACTTATGTACATAACAAATCTTGGCGCGCGAGATCACACTTGCTCGCTCGGGATTTATTGCATTTTTTTTTAAAATTTCGTCTTAACTTATAATTTATATATATATATAAATATAAATATACAATGTATGTTACTCAGTGTGTCGTGGATCTTTATCGATTCTTTTTTTCCACGACTTTGCTACGCCGTCTCCCTTCGGACATTCGTACGAATTCGTAACTCGTGCCACTTCGCGCGCAATAGCCCGGACGATCGGAGAAAATCGACAATGTGAAAGGAAAGGGGTGAAAGAGATTTCGATCTCGCGTAATAGAAGTCTCTATCCAATAAGGATAATCAGATCAAGTCCCCACTTACGTATCACGAACTTAATTGAATTCCCTTGCGAATTAATAGTTACGCTTGATGATGATCCCGGATAGAATTGGTCAGTGAATTGAGTTCTCCCTTTTATTTCTCTTCCCGCCTCCGATTGGCAATCGAATATAACGATATATTCAATTATGATGGATACAGTGGGTGGATAGAGAAATTTATCATTACGACCGCGCGAGGGTGTGACCTATTAAAATTTTTTTATTCATTATTTCTGATCGCGTACATCATACGTTCCGTTGCATCCAATCACCAAAGACTCGTACGCGCAGTTATTTTTTCATTCTTGTATTTACGTCAATCCAATAGTCTCTCTCTCTTTTTTTTTTTTACTTTGCGTGCATCGCCCGCTTTTTAATACTGAAGCGTCCTATATTTTTAATTGCCTCCGCGTAATACTTTAAAAGAATGAAACTTATATTTCCGTCCTCTCTCGACTCGATCGACAGTTACGTTTGTGCAGCAGGTGAATATTTTAAGTTTCGCGTATCGGCAATCGATGGCGTGGTAAAAACTTCTTTTTCCGTTCAATTAAATCCCGTCTTTGAGTACTGGACCACGCGCGACTTTTATCCAGATAACTTTTAGGATTAAGTCGAATAATTAAAAACGAAAAAATGGGAAAAGAAAAGCAAGAAAGAGAATCGTTCGTTCTTCCAGAGCATCTTTTTTTTTTTCCTCAACTCGCAAAGACCCATCGCCGCGTTTGCGTTCGTTTTAAGAATAATCGACTCGGCGGTGACGAGTATCCAAGCGATTATCGCCACGCCGAATCGATCCTCGATCGTCTTAGACGATCTCGGGAAGCGGGACGACTTTAAATTGCCTTTTTACAATCGATAAGTTTTACGAAGTGTAGCTAAGGTAAATCGTTATGAAATCGTCTTCACTTTGCGTGGGGGGATAAATCGTAGTGTTATGTAAATGTAACGTTACCTTTCTCATCTATGAAAGCCATGACATCGTGCTCGCGATGCACAAATGACTTTAAGCGAAGCGGACCGATCTTTAACGGGAAAGAAATTTTCATATACTATAGAGAATACCTATATATATACATAAATATATACATATATATTTTTGTTACGTCCACCGAATGAGAGTTCTAGTGTGTGTCGTCCTGCGTTAAACATATGTATATTAATCGCGAGTGTTGACGCGCTGGTTTCACCCGATATGCGGTATGTTAAGAGGATCTTCCTTTGTTTTTTTTTTTACACGCGACTGTTTGTTGGTTTCGTTAGTGTTCCCCGACACACGCGGTTGACTCAAAAGTTTGATTTCACTCCGTATCTTCTGTGGCTAGTCCGTTGTTACGAGACATCGAGATATATCGGATTGTTGATTCATTTCTCGTCTGTCCTGTGAATAATAACCGAACAATCTATATTCTTCGAGAACTTTATTAGACAGCGGACAGGAACGTTCATAATAATAGATATTGTAAATCTGCAGATCATTTCGATGTAACAGAACTGGGGTTAGTCGCGTTAAGATATAAAAGGGAAAAAAACAAATAAAAGAAACTAATTATCGTTGTATATGTAAAGTATCATCTACACAAGCACATACGCTTCTTTACTGTGGGAAGTGCTTCGCCCTCGCGATCCACTCGCGCGAGGCGAGCGAGGAGCCCGGCGATGCCGTGATCGCGAAAGTGAGATTTCCTCGACACGTCCCTCGTCGTGCGAAGCGAAAATCTCGAACGGCCGTTCGAATAGTGAAACTGCAATAAAATCCGCGGCCCTCTTTCTCTCTCCACGGGGGATGCTCAAAGTTTCCACCAGCGTGTCTAACTAAATGTAATTAAAAGCCTACACCAAATATACTCGTCGTCGCGAATTCTCGTTCGGGATTTTCGCAACTGGACGGTCGCATCTGATCCGAGACGTTGAGGACACATCGGTCGTAAGGGTAGAATCGTAAGGGCAGCGCGCAACAAAACTCTTCATGACAATATCGTACCGCAGAAAGTCGCAATTTCCGATCACACCCCACGGCTGCTGCAATGACGATTCTCGCGCTTTTTTTCCCTCACCCTCCGTTCCGCGCTCTCGCATCATCTCTCTTGATCTGCCGAGTGTCTCATTCACGGTGTCACGGACGTTGTCGACGAAGCAGCACGCCGTCGACCCGTGCCCGATCTTCTCGATCATCGGGGAATCGAGGCAGCAGCGAGCGTGTACGCGCGTCGCATATTTGGGAAATCGAACTGAGATCGGTGCTGCGCGACTCGGCCGAATTTTCGAAATACGCTTATTATAAATATAGGTAAAAATATATACTCGCTCGCTGCACTACGTGCGTGTGTGTGCGTGTGTAATTCGTGTTCGATTCCCGTTCGCCATCCGTTCGAAGCTGCATCGATTCTTCCCCGGCGAGGCATCGCCGATCGATGACGAGAATATCCTCGCGCTCGAAATCTCGAACACTCGAATGAACGTGTTGTACGGTTGACGCAGATTTCTGAAGGGAAAAATACACATTCGGACAAGAGAGAGGCAAGAGAGGTAACTGGAGAGGATAGTGTAGTTCTCGATGAAATGTCGCGATATTAATGCTCTTTCCTGTTTATGTCTTGACATAAATCAAAAGTCTGGTCTACAATGTGCTCTTCGCGTCTAAAAACATTCTATTTTGTAGCCGTAAATACATTTAAAAAACATTTGTGCAAGCTGATAAATTGTATTGTACGAATACATTATACATCGTGCATCGTACAATCGTGTGCTGTCGACAAATTTTTCATGCGCTTCAATTTGCTTATATAAAACAGTATTTCTAGAAAAGAACACATTGTAGATCAGCCTGAAGAACGACAGTCAGCAGGGACGTCTGTCGATTCCTCGAATATCACGGATATCGCTATATAGGATGTTTTATATCGGAAAACATATATTTTCTTGCATACTTTGTGCTTACGAAAGATCGACTTTGCTAAGGCTTAAAGTGTATTTTTGATTAGAAATCCGTCTAAAGCTAAATTACAATAAAACTCAAGAAATCGTTTAGGAGCGTAGCGACGAGATGTAGACGACCGCACACAACACACACACACACACACACACACATACACACATACACATTCTGCTCGTTATATTTATATATGTGTGTAGCCAGAGTGTACACTAACAGTAGTACGTTAATCTTGAACGAACGAATCTTCCTTAGCGAAAATTTCTATCGGGCATCGTAATCCGCGGTAATTGTTCGGTACAATTATTTATGAAACTTTCAACGTCGGGTAAACCCGGCTTCGCGACCACGGATTTTAATTTCCGCTAAGGGAAGCGTCGTCGAATATGACTTTGCTTGCAGAATAAGATCTACGCACTCCTCTTGAAATAATATGTATACCATTTATTTTTCTTCGAACGAACGTGTGTGCGTGAGAGATATACAACACATATATGCATACATATTGTATATATGTATGTGCGTATATCGTGCCCCGTGTGAATAATGCATATAAAAGAAAATATAAATATATAAATATATATACACACACGCATAACTGTATATATAGATATATATAAATATATATAGATATATGTGTATCCTGCGCGTGTGTGCACGCGTGTATGTGTGTGTATTGTAGGCATTCGCAAAAATGCTCGACGGACGTCAGCGTCATTTCTCGCGCGACGGCAAGCTCGAACGAGGAACGACGCGGATCACGTGCACGATGGAGATTATAGACTTTTATTTATACAGCGACGGAACAATTTCG